ACTCCCGATATTGATTGTGAATGCTGTTAAACTAGAGCTCTCATCGGTTGTCGTGAAGGTCGTCAGATTGTAACCTTCAGCGATCTACGTGAAAGTCTTCAAATTGTAGCCTTCTGGAAGTCGTCAGATTATAACTTCCATCATCGGTGTTTGTTGGGGGATAAGCTATCTATTGTGATTTTTAGATAGCCTACAACACCCTTCATCACTACTAGGGAACCTCGAACAACCTTCTTCACTCTGTTCTTTGTAACAATCCTGTAACTATCGGAGTCCAATACACCAACCGAGATAAGATTCTTCCGCAAGTCGGGGACGTACCTCACATCTGTCAAGGTTCGGACCACTCCATCATGCATATTAATCTTGATATCATCTAGCCCCACTAATTTACAAGCATGGTTGTTCCCCATCAATATGGTTCCACCATCAATGCTTCTGTAGGTGGTAACCACTTTCTATTTGGGCACATGTGGTAAGAGCAACCTGAATCAAGAATCCACTTCCCGAAGATATCCTCGCCACCCGTGACAATATAACATTCCTTCTCGCTCCCTTCCTCTGAAACATAGCTCGCTTCTTCCTTGCCTTCTATCCTCTTAGTCTTGCTGTTATTCGTCTTCCCACCTACTCTCTTATTTAGACAGTCGACTTTGAAATACCTAACCTCACTGCATTTGAAACATGCTCTTCCCGTAAGAGGTCTTGATTTACATCTAGACTTTCCTCGCTTGTCTTTTCCTCGCTCATTATCCCTTCCTCTAACAAACAATCCCTGTGCCTGTTCCTTGTTACCACCAGCAGTCATGTCACTGGTTGTAATCTTTCGAAGGTCATCCGCTAGAAGCATCGTTCTAGTCTCATCCATCGTCAAATTATCTCCTACAAGCATCAGTGTTTGCACCAGGTTCTCATAAGACTTCGATAGAGATAGAAGTAGTAGAAGAGCCTAATCCTCATCTTCTACAGTTACATCGATGTCCTTCAGATCCGATATTATCCTATTGAACTTGTTGATGTATTCATGGATTGATGAGCCCTCCTCCATCTTGCAAGTATACAATTTGAATTTTAAATAGACCCGGTTCGTTAGACTCTTCGTCATGAAGGTGCTCTCTAACTTCGATCATACGCCCACAGTCGTTTCCTCTCCATCTACCAAGAAAGCTACATCCCTCTCAAGGCATGGGATAATCGATGCCTGTGCTTCCAGATCTAGATCCTCCCAATCCTCATCAGACATATCCTTGTGTTTCTTCTCCTTTTCATCCAAAGCCTTATGCAATTTCTGCGAAATCAACAAATTCTTCATCTGCGTCATCCAATAGGAAAAATCGTTCTTTCCATTGAACTTTTTAATCTCGTACTTTGTAACTTTAACCGTCTTGCTAGTTGACGCCAACCTCCGCTTGATTAATAATCCCTTCTCTCTAACCAATTGCTCTGATACCAATTGTTGGGCGCAGAGTCACGCCCTCACATCGCGGAAGTGATATAACCTGAGAGAAAGCCCTGGCTTTTGTTGTCACAAAAGCTCAAGCCAACCTCTATGTTCCTATTTCGTGAAGGAAATAAGAACAGAAGTAAAATATCTCAAAAAGTAAGATATACACTCTTCCTCCCATCAGTTCTAGGACTGAATTATCGAGGGAACCTACAAGCAATAGCCAACACCTAGAAAACAGTAAAGACACAAGATTTATGTAGTTCGGCAAACCTGCCTACGTCCACGAGAGGGGGGAGAGGAGATTCCATTATGAGTAGAACACCGACGACTTGTACGATCCACAAGTTCGTCTCAAAGAAGAAGATCTCTCTTTTTCTCTCTCAAGATCTACTTCTCTTTGTTTTCTTCTAAAAAAAACAGTCTCCGCCACAAACCCTATGTTTTTCCCCACGTCACTAAACCCTAGAAGAAAGAACATTGGATATTTATAGCGCCCGACTTCGGCACTTCAGCGCTTGGGTGGGCCGCACCTGGGCTCTGTCGCTCTGCCTTCGCGTTCGTGGGTGTGGCCCCCACGTTCACAAGGACTTTAAATGGTTTATAGCACATTCGAATGACTTGTGTTGCTAATTAGTTTCCTTTGTTTTATCATGGACTGATTTTGACAGTCCATGATAAAATATCGTTGCAATTGTGGACCCCAATGTGCTTCCAAACAATGGAAGACCGTGAAATCTAGTTTTCACATTTTAACTTCTTGTTGAACAAAACTACAAAAAAGCTTTTCTAAGAAACGTAAAAAAAGGAAATAGAATTACTTGGCGGGAAATGTTATCTTGTTTTTACATTGTTTTCTTGCTCTTTTCCTTTTCTGTACAAAGGAAAGCGAGAAAGAAAATGACTATTAGGAAAATGAAAAATTCTTCAATGACCCAAAATATGGGACTAATAGGGGGGAAAGGGGGGGGGGGGGAAGTGAAGTGTCCCCCTCCTATTGGATAATGAGTTGACCATCATTAATGATGACCAACTCATTATCTAATAGGATGAGAACACCTCACTTGTCCTTCTTATTGGTCCCATATTTTGGGTCACTGTAGCAAAGCTCTAGAAAAATTTTAGGGTATTACTTGCCCCACACTTTTGGCTACAATTAACGAGAGGAGTTTATTTGGAATTTCCCGAGTAAAAAGTGATCAAGATTTGGGCCATGGCCAATGCTTAATAGAAATGTTAGGGGTACACCCCCAACCACAATCTCAACTACACCTCCTCTCCCTCTATAGTGCATTGGGCTCCACATCAATTTTTTTTTTAAAAATTTGATGTGGGACCCAATGCACTATAGAGGGAAAGGATGTGTGGTGGAGGGTGTGGTTGGGGGTGTGCCCCTAGCACCACTCAATGCTTAATTACCTTGCAAAGGCATCCATACTAGCATTAGACTTGCGCTAGATATGAAAGATTATGCACTTTTAAGACTTTACTCACGAACATGTCGATGCGTCACAGGAACTCCATGCATGTGTAGTTCTGAGCTCTCCTCTTTATGAGTTATAAATTACGTATTCTTTAACATTGTTACGTTGTATACTTGGTGTTGATCATGATATATTTGGTATTGATTATAAATCCAAAGAATTCACATGTCCTGACCTACTAAGGGTGTATTTGTCTATTCATTATTGAAGTTGTAGTGTAACTAACAATTAATGCAGCTCCAATAAAAGATGTTCTAGCTGTGTAACATGCATTTGATTGACATATTTTAGAAGAAAATGTTTCAGCCGGTGGAAATAACAATTCGTTATTCAAAAAAAAAAAAAAAATCGTCCATCATGTCACCATATCTAGAATTTACTAATGTATTTTGCATGTTGTTCTAATATTCATTTTGAGTGTTTGTATGACAATAGATACATTAGCGTAGTAGCCTACAAATAACTAAGTGTAAACGCCCAATCAAATGTATCCAAAGATGGATGTCTCGAGGTTCTCCTACAGTCGGTCTACTATTCTAGCTAACAACTTGCGTAGCCGACTAAAAAAGCGGTACTTATCGACCTACCCAACCAATCGAGGCTACGAGTCTCAGTACCAGCTTACTATTCCAGCCGACAACTTACGTAGCCTACTAAAAAAGTGGTGTTTGTCGACCTTCAGCCAGACGACTAAAGAGGTGGTGTGTCCTCAAACCCCCTGCCGACAGCCGGCTACTATCGCCTTAAATGCATTATCAGAGTCATCATTGCTCTAACCCCTATAGTCTTTATGACTCATCGGACATAGTCAGCACTAAGCACTTGCCCTCGCCCTCACATTAAATACATGGATGAGTCACCTTCTTCAGCAGCCGAACACCTGTAAGGTATCTGCCGATTCAGCTGCATGTCAGGACTTGGCCAAAATTACCTATTTTCCCTTCCGATCTACTATTAAAAGGCAGCTGTGCTGCCTAAGATAACCTCTCTGGTTTTTTCCTTGCAATTCTGAGTAACTTTTCATCACTCACCTCTCATTTTCCCACTCAAGTTAAAACACTAACTTGATTGTCAGAGAAACAACCGAAGAACCCAACTCCGACCTTTCACGAGCTTTTCATGTGTAGGAGAGAACGTCAGGCTCAAGAACCGGTCATCTGCGGAAGTTTGATAATCCATAGATAAACCCCATGTTCGATGATTGACATCACCAATTAGTATAACAGTACTTCTACAATAGAAAATCTAGATAATTTAATATGGAGTTAGATTATACAAGTCTAATATTTGTTTTTCTTCTAAGGAAAACACACACACATGAGACACATTGCAAGGATGTTGAAGAAAACTGATCAATATATTAAATATTTTTTCTAAACGTCCAACATTTGTTTTCCTTCTCAGAAAAAAAAAACACAAATATGACCCGTTCCAAGGATGTTAAAGAAAACTGGGCAATAAATTAAATATTTGTTTAAGTTATGCTGATTTTGATTAAATTAAATAAATTAACAAGATCTTTTGGTAACATTTTTATTTTAATAAATACCATGCATAGTTATTACCAAACATCATGAACATTATTTTCTATCAACAATAATGTACTAATTTTACTTCTTATTCAAAAAGTTTATAAACTTAAGGGAAAAGGTCGCACACATGTATACATTATTCATCACATGGCTCTCTCTCTCTCTTTCCGACAGAAGAGCCGCAACTTCAAACATGGGAACATCTCAACTTTTGAATTCCAAATCTCAAACCTCTACCACTAAAATACTATAAACTCCATCCAACATGTCTACTCTCTTTATTAACGTCAACTAACAACAGAATCCAAAGCGACTGCTTCACCTTCAACAACTCAAACCACCAAAGAGACCCAAGTGAGAAACTTTCCCATCTGCTTTTGTAATTTTTCGGAAAGAGAAATATCTTGGGTTTTGGGTGAATTTTCCAATCTTGGCACAAGCTGGATTTGGTTCCTTGGGCTTATCAATGGTGTCATTTCTGATGTAAGCCTCTGGCTCTCTCTCTCTCTCTCTCTCTCTCTGTGTGTGTGTGTGCTGGCATTGACAGACTTCTTTTCCTCTCTCTCTCTCTCTCTCTCTCTCTCTCTCCTGTCTCTCTGTTATTTATCTTGTGGTTTTCTGTGTTTGAACATGATTCTTCCATGAAATGGGCACTTCATGTTATGGGTTTCATGACAACTTGACAATTGGGAGAAGAGAAAGCTTTGAGCCTTTAATGGTTTTGCTTTCATTAGATTAGGATTTGAAATGAGGTGCATTGCTTTTTCTATGCTGGGCTCTATCTTGTTTGATTCTTTCTTTGTTTCTTGTTTTGAAATTGTTCCCCCCCTTTGGAGAGGGGCTTTTTTCGCTCTCTGCATCTTCTCTGCATCTCTTTTGTTTGGGGTATTAGTTCTTGTTGGTCACTATAGTTTCTATTATTTGTACCATTTTTGAGATAATTGTTTAGGGACTTCATTTTATGCTGAACACTTACTCACTTTGCTGACCTCTTCTAGTCATATCAGGGTTTGTGAAAGGAGTGAAATTTGAGTGGTGTTTCTTTCGGGGGTTCGAGCAAATTTCAGTTGCTTGCGCCAGAGAGCAGCTTTATAGGGCATGGTCATTGAGATCTCATTCTGAAAGAATCAATCAAAATGCTGTGTGCTTGCTCCAGAGAGCAGCAGCTCCATTTCGAAGAAGCTCCTCAGTCACCAGAATCTCTTGCCACCAGAGATTTCTCAGTCAGCGGCCTGTCCTCAAGAACCGGCGGCACAAAGTTCGATGACCACCAAGTAGATGACATAGAATCAACATTAAGAGAGACTCTATCACTGAATTATGAGGTAATTTTGATCGGAATGAATCAGTACATTCATTGTGGTGTCAAGTTGATCTTAATGGCTGTGTTGAAGCAGGAAGCCCGGGCATTGTTGGGTAGATTGGAGTATCAAAGAGGTAATTTTGATGCAGCATTGCAAGTGTTTCAAGGAATTGATATAAGGGGTTTGAAACCGAGGATGATTAAGGCCATTTCAGAAAGGAGTCGACCGAGAAAAGCCCGTTCCAAAGGGGGTAAATTGCTGGTGAATGTAATGTCAATGCATTCAGTTAGCTTGCTGCTAGAAGCAATACTGCTTAAATCAAAGTCTTTGGAGGAGCTCGGCCATGTTCAAGGTAAAATCGTGGTTTCATCATCAACATGGTTGCCTAAATAAATTTTCTGCGTGAACTTACCTTATTGATTAAATGTTTGTAATTCTTTTGTCCTCTTGGATAGTGTTCAACTCTATGATTGGACATTGTAAGTTTTGGATGGTGAATTCATAGGCTGGCTAATTAAACTTTCTGCGTGAAATTTCCTTATAGATTTGTCTTTGTAATTATCTTGTGCAATTGGATAGTTTTCAACACTATGATTCAAATTTTTTAATTTGGATGGTGATGAATTGTTAAAAAATATATTATATGGTTTAATCTCTGCTCAATATTGCTGTAAGTACTCTAGTATTTATGCAAAAACTAGGATCACTAGAGGGATGACATCGTGGGCTAGCTGCCAGGTTGTTAGCATTGTTGGGATTTTCAGCAATTCCAAAAGTGTGACACAACTGTAAGTATGTAACTAAGCATATGAGATTAAGTACAAAAGGTTTTTTTTTTTTTAAATGTGTGGTTCAGCCAAACCCCGATTACATTGCAGCACTCATGCCAATTCCGATTGGGAAAGATTTTCTATAAATGTGAGAAAATTTACATGGGCCTAACTTAAATCTCCATTTATTATTTGTCCACTTCATGATTTTGGTGAGTGACTGCTTTATTTTTAATACAAGGGCCAATAGTCGAAGTAAATATACTAATTAGGTCATGTTGATGTTGCATAAAGACGTGCTGGATGCTCCTCTATTTCTATTTGATATGTATTTTTACCAATAAATTCAAGGTACTTGGTGGGTATGTACCTGTAATCCTTTGTTCTTTAAATATTGTGCGTATCCAACCTTTAACCTGTCCGTATCCATGTGTGTCATGCGATACAGGCTCATATAAAGTCTGGGGTGTGGTGATGTTCCATTTGTTAGGAATGTTGATCATGCAAGATTGATGAGGTCGAGACAAACAGCTCATAGAATAAAAGAAGCCTTTTGTATTGTTCCTCGGAGAAAACCCCTTATATAACACAACGCAGTAAATCATAACAAAGAAGAACTACACAGTAGAGGTATTAAAGCATGAAAAGATCGTACGTGAAAACTGGAGAGCGGGGAGGTTGTGTTCTGATACCTCGACTTAAATCTTGCTTGTCATTTCATATGAGCATGCGTTAAGAATCACTGCCAAAAGAGGGACTGTAGTAATTGCCAAATGAAGGGCTGGAATTATAGCACTTGTTTCGACACGCTACATCATGTCATTATATACTTGGACATTCTTTTAGCCATGCACTTAACTAGTTTAAAACATCCACAACGTGAATGTTGCTAACTTGACAAAGTATCTAATTCTGCCCATACCATCAGCTAACTGAGTTATCTTCTTTAACTTAAACTAATAAATAACAAGAACGAAAATATACTTTAAGTGTACCATAAGACTGACATCAAACATGGTCTTTAATGTTGCAGATGCTGCAATAGAGTGTAAAAGTATTTTAGACATAGTTGAATCTGCATTGCCTCATGGTATGTCTCAGACTGTTACAGATGATTGCAAGTTGAAGGAAATATTTCACAAAGCTCTTGAATTGCACCCAGAACTTTGGAAACAAGCTGGTCATCTTGATGAAGCAGTTTCTGCCTATCGACGAGCTCTCATAAAACCTTGGAATTTAAACCCCAAAATGTGTGCAAAATTTCAGAAAGACCTAGCAGTAGTTTTGCTTTATGGCAGCGAAGAGGTCACTCTACCTCCACACCTTCAGCAGCTACAGAATCAAAGTTCACCTAAAACCAACATAGAAGAAGCAATCCTTTTATTGCTCATACTCATGAAAAAGGTACTGTTTCAGGAAATTAGTTGGGATCCTGAGATCATGAATCATCTCACTTTTGCACTCTCATTATCAGGGCAGTTTGAATTATTAGGAAATCACGTGGAGCAATTATTGCCAGGTATCTATACCCGAGCTGAAAGGTGGTACTTGCTTGCACTCTGCTACAGTGCTGCAGGTATGACTGATGTCGCACTAAATATTTTGAGAAATTATTCGGGTCGTTCAGAACGGAAACATAAACCACATATTCCTGCACTTCTTTTGGCATCTAAATTATGTTTTAAACATGCAATGCTTGCTTCTGAAGGGGTAAACTTTGCTGAAAGAGCGACTCAACTTGCTAGTGATCAAGGAAAACATTTCAGGGGTCTCTCCAGCCACTTGCTGGGTGTTTCCTATGGGAACTATGCTAGATCAGTCACCTATGATTCAGAAAGGCTAAAGCTGCAGAAAGAAGCTTTAGATGCATTAAAGAATGCTGCAGCTCTAGAGAAGGATGATCCTGAGGTGATATATAGCCTTGGGTTAGAGCTTGCAATACAACGAGAGCTTGATGCTGCCAGAGAGTGTGCAGTGAAGTATTTAGAGTTGATGGGTGGAATCTCAGTGAAAGGTTGGAAACTATTAGCTCTCGTGGTTTCTTCAGTGCAGGATCATGAAGGGGCGGAATTAGTAGTTGACCTTGCTATTACTAATACTGGAATAGACGACCAGTTGGAATTGTTAATAATGAAAGCACAGCTTCAGATTCGTCAAGAACAGCCCAAGAATGCAATAGAAACCTATAGAAGTTTGCTCACCGTGATTAAAGCACAAGAGGACGATCACACAGAGAGGGCTAACTCCAAGGTACATCTTGTTTTATGATATGCGTGCTCGTATATTGTTTCAATTACGAGACCTCTTCTTATGTGAGTGTAATGTTTATCATAGGTTAAAACACATGGAAGCTTAGAAGTGGAAGCATGGACGAACTTGGCATCCATTTACAGTAAAGCTAGGTTACATAAGGATTCGACCAGTTGCTTGGACATAGCCAAATCTATTGGATATTTCTCCCCAAAGACCTGGAATGCAAAAGGTGAGTATATTCTCGCAAGTCTGGGTTCTCCTGAACTTTCAAAATTATACTAAACCCCCTAAACTTGAGAATTCTCACAAACGACCTTTGTACTTTTACCTGCCCTTACACAGAAAAGGGTAATATAGAAGTTGTCATGTGCTGAGCACGTAGTTAATTGAGACAAGTTCAGGAGGGGTTTCTATGATTACCAAATTTCATGATGGTTGTCTGCAACCTCCCCCCCACCCCCAAAAAAAAAAAAAAAATATTTTGTGAAATTTACCCCTTCTTTCAAAGATCCTAGTTCTAGGAAAGTATAGCTTTTAAAATTTTCAGAAATACTTCTTTCCAATAGTTCATTTGTCTGCAAGATGTACACTTTTAATCCATCTCTTTTGAATCTACTCCCAAGAATCTTCTCTTTTTAGTTTCATTACTAAAAATCTGCTAGAAAAAATGTGAATTTGCTCTGCTACTTCAACTACTAAGCCTAGCTTTGCCTAATACATGCAGGCATTAGTTTACAAGCCCAGTCACTAGACAAGGAGGCTCTTGCTGCCTTTTTGACATCTCTCTCAATTGGACCGGACTATGTTCCAAGCATGGTGACCACAGGTGTAGCTCTAAGGAAAATCGGTGGTAAATCGTTGCCCATTGCAAGAAGTTTCTTGACAAATGCTTTAAAGATGGAGCCTACAAATCACGATGCATGGTTAAACCTTGGGTTCATATCCAAAGCAGAGGGTTCTCTGCGTGAAGCAGCAGATTGTTTCCAAGAAGCCTGTGAACTCAATGAATCATCTCCTATCATGGACTTCAGGTAAGCGATGTATTTTACTGTAATATATAGAAAAATAAGATGAAGTGTCATTAGGTGGAAAGATCGAGCATACACATCCTAAATAGTTAATGGCTTTTCTGATCAAAATATATGTAATTTGAGAAATGAATCATTGTAACGCTAAAAGAAAGGTTGTGTCATATCTCAGCAGCCAGTTACCATTTCTTATGAATAAGTCAAGTATTATCAGTAGTTATGTATACGTACCTAAAATTTTCTAGTTTCTTTTAAAATGTAAATAGTGGATATAATTCAAACCTGTTTGGAATAGGTTAATTTAGATATGTTTGTTGATTTATCTTTGTATGAACCTGTTCACTGTTGTATAAAACTGAGTTATTAATTCACCAGAAATCACAACTATATTCTTGCTCTGCTACAAACTTAGATTGAAGTATCTGGAGAGGTATCAGCGTCTATAAGAAATTCTCTCTTCTGTCTTGACTAAAAGTCATTAAACCTAGCCTTTTACTACCACATAGTTAACTTTAGAAAGCAAATCTTCAGTGGTCTTAAACCTAATACCAAATTTTATTTTGTCCTACGTTATTATAATGTGCCCATGATGAAAGACATTTTTATAAGATGATCATAAGAGTAACTGCATTTAATGTACTAAACTGTTGCATAACTAAGAAACAATTTAAAAGAATGAGTTTAGCGAATATTAGAATGCTTCGCTAGATGAGTGAAAATAAACTAGAAGTGGACAATAAGAAATGAGTGCATCTGCGAGATATTAGAGTTGCTTATATTGAGAATAAAATGAGGGATAGTTGATTGAGATGGTCTAAGTTTGTTAATAGTCCCTTTCACTGCACCAAAAATTTGAAGTTATGGTGAATGTTGATGGTCATAATTTTATACATTGACATGTCCCCATAGGTTGAGCTTTCTTTTCATGGGCCAAAGTCTGCGCTCAGATAGTGGTATCTTTTTTTAATCCCTAATAATATGTGGTTGGTGGGAATTGAACCTGTGTTCATCTAATACCATGTTATAGGTCCCTTCCACAGTATTAAATATCCAAAGTTATGGTGAGGGTTCAGAGTTATTATTTTATACTTTAACAAATCATGTACAGAAATTCAGTTAATGCACCAATTATGTGTCATAAGATTTAGGTAATGAACTAGATGGACGAAAAGGATTCATGTAGCTATCACAAGATTAAGTTGACTATTGGGTTGTTAGCTTAATATGGAGGTAGTCATTAACAGAACTAAATGGAGAAAAGGGTTCATATTGCTACGCTCAAAATGGACAAACCTTTTATTTTAATTTTTTTTTTGTTGCTGCTGTTGTTGTTGTTCCTGTTCCCTGATTCTACTAGGATTGCTGTAAATCTGATTTTGTTCATTCAACCACACTGTTGAGTCTATAATTGCTAGTTCATACAGATACCAAAATTGTGCAATTCTTAGAGAAATCAAAATGAAAGAGAAGGGAAAGTCTTCTTCATTGATAGAGATTATTATCATCACCCTACTTGTTCTGGCAAAATGAGTCAGATTTAGAATGCAAAGTTTAAAGTTGGTATGGTTCCAAAGATTAAGTTAGCTGCCTTAGAATTTTCTATAGAACTGACAGTGCACCTGAGGCCTGATCCCCTAAGGAACTGGCACAGTATATGGGATGGAGAAAATTTGCTAAATCTCGTACAAATTCAAACTAAACGAGAAAGATACATGGTATCTAGGAGAATGGTGCTGGGAAGAATGGAGGGCCCGAGAATGATGGGATTAAGCTTAAGACAAACATCAAACCTGGAAAGCACTCATATGCTTGTAGGATAACTTGGATTCTATTTGGGTGTAATACACGCCCTAGTGTTCTCATCAAAACGACAAACAATAAGAACAATAGTACAGCAGAAACGATGCAAGGATTTATGTTGTTTGGCCGAACACAAGCCATGAATCTATTGGAGAATAATGCAAAATAGATTCGTTCTATGAATGTGGAGATTCCAAATACAATACCTTGACCGTTGGATTAAAACATAATCCATTAGTTGACAATCTTAGTGAGAACTAATACTAATGGGTCATGGGTGGCATTTGCTTTCACAAGGTCATGCCCAAATAGTAACCAATGGCATAGTAACAAACTAAACAGAAAATGCATTCAAAACAGCGAATCCATAAGAGAGAAAGCTGTCTAGAAAGGAACTTGTCTGGTTCAAATGTATTTGAGCTAAATCCAAGAAAATGGTCCAAGCCGTTGAGCTGGACTCCTCACTTTCTCTGATCAGTCCGCATCTGAAATTCCAGATCATTTACAGGCATGGCTATGGTTGAATACAACAGACGTTACTCTTCTAAAAGAGGGGAGAGAGCAGTTCTTTTTTCCTCCATTGTGTCAATCCATGGTCTGATTGCTTAACCGTGATTTTTTTTCCTTCACAATTTGATAAGCCATAACTTTTACGTAGCTTCTTTTATCTTCTCTTCTTACAAGTATATTTTATCGAAGTGAATAGTAGAATAGTTCTCATGGTATTTCTTTTTCATTCATTGATACTATGCTTATTGTAGCGAAATGAAAAAATATATGATAGAAGTTTTGTTACGAAAAGTAAATATAATTTGTAAAACATTAAGTTCTTAACACTTGTTGCTTTCTTTTTAGCAAATTCTTGTGGAATACTTGATCTATAAGTACATTTTCAATCTCCTTTACACTATTTAAATTATTTATAATTTATCTTATATACTAGCAAAGATTGGACATTAAGTACTTTACTACGTAGGTTTAAATATAAAAGCCAAAAACATGTAAATGGTATAGGCATGCGTATTCTTCTCTTTAACCAAAGTAATTTTATTGAATGAGTTAATTATATTTTGGTAACCTGAAGTATAGTTTAATTACACGTGTGACCTTGAAGTCTACGTATGTAGATAACCCAAAGATTGTTGATTATAATTGCATTGGTGACACTAGAATCTGTCAGCAAGTTAGCAATATTTGTTTTTTTGTTGATTCAAAGTTCTTTTGGATGTTAGTTAGGAGTAGGTTAGGATTACGACTAGGACTAGAGTTTTGGTTAAGTTTAGTGGTGCTAAACCATATTTGTATCCGATGAAATATCTACAGTCGTATTCTTTAGGATACAGATATGGTTATTCAAATATATAACCGATAGGATATGCTTACGGATATGATTTTGCAGTGAAATATCTAGAACCGTATCTAAAATATCTGAATACATATTAGTCATATTGTTACAATGGTTTTAGTTTTTAGATTATAGATACAAGGTTTAATTTTAAAGATCAAAACATATAATCTTAGCTTTTCAGATGTAATGAACATATTAATGAACACTTTTGTATCACATAAACTATATTTTTTCAACAGTATCTAATTTTCTCTTATTCGTTTTATATATGCATGCTTATTCACTTATATATCCACATGTATATTCATATCTGTATCCAATTTTAGTGGATATGGATATGAATTTTCCTTATTGAGGTATATCTGTATCCGTATCCGAAATGAATAAGCAAATATGGATATGATAAGCATCATATCTGAGCCGTATTTGGACCGAATGTACCCCTAGTTAAGGTCATAGCAAAATTACGGGGGTTTTTCCCAAAAACCATCTTAAAATAGGGTTATCATACATAATCCGCATTTCATTTTCAATTTATATTTAAAGCGGGTTTTTGTTCCAATCAACAACCAGTCAAAATTTTCACTAACAACCCAAAAATACCCTTAAAAGCTCTCACATTCAAAACACGCGATTTATTCAGTTAATGTTTAGGTCTTGTTCGGATACACGTCAAGTACCTTAACGTGCATTTTTTAAAGCTTATTTTTGGTTTTTTAGTGAAAATTTGACTAGGAGTTGTTGATTGGAACAAAAACTCACTTTAAATGTGGTTTACATATGAATTGAAATTGAGAGATAGTTTTTTTATAACGACCTTATTTTTTAAGGCCATTGCCAAAAAACGAAAATTACTGACCATCAGAGTTCAATTAGGATTCTAACAATGAAAAGTGGGTTATCATTGTTTAATCCTAACCCCACGCTACTCCTAATTGTAAACATAACCCTAACCCTAATGCTAATTGTCATTTAATAAAAAATTCCAAAATCAGCAAAAAGCAAATAGTGTTAATTGCCGACAGATTCTAGGGTCGCCTGTATAATTATAATTAGCAATCTCAAGGTTATCTATGTAGGTATACGGACTTTAGAATCACCCGTGTAATTATACCATACCTTAGGGTACCAGAATGTAATTAATCCAATCACTTTCACCCTTTTTAAAGTAAAGCAAGGCACAAATTGAAGACCGCTACTTGATTAATCTTTCCATAATATAAAACAATCCATACAGCTATGATGCTCTGGGGCATTTGGGTTCTGAAACTACTGAATGCATCAAATATCGTCATAATATGATGGTCTTGTACTTTTGTCCATCCCCTTTAAATCTCATAACTTGATTTGTTTTTCTAGTACAGTCTCTGATTGATTCCACTATCCAAATATGGAGTGTACCGAAGACTACCAAGTTATAAAGAAACTCTCAGATGATCTCCTTATCGAGATCCTCTCTAGACTTCGAATCAAGTCTATTCTCCAATGCAAATGTGTCTCCAAAGCTTGGAATTCCTAGATTTCTGACACTCACTACCTTAAGAAACTTCCCCACGCCATGTCTGGACACTTCTACCATGTCCACGGTTCAGAACCTGGTCATTGTAACTATGAAATAGAGCAAGTGAGCATGCTTCAAAGTAACAAAAGTGTTTATTCTATAGAAGAAAATCTTAGTTTCTTACCACTCTGTAGTCAGTATAGACTTGTGGATTGCTGCCATGGCTTGCTTCTTTGTGACTCGTTCAAAGGCAATCCATTTACTTCTTATATCTGCAACCCTGCAACAAAAGGATGGACTGAGTTCCCTATGCCAGACTATCATCTCATTCTCCTTGCCTTATGTTTTGATCCAAGCATCTCCCTCCATTATACTGTTCTTGGCTTCAAAGTGGAGAGTTCTCGCGACATGATTGATGAGAATTTTATAAATGAAATCCCCACATTGTTCTCATCAGAGAATCCAAAGTGGGTAGAGATAAATGTTCCATGGTGGTGTGAAATGAATTCAAACATCCAGCAGCATGTTCCCTTAAATGGAAGTATTCATTTCTTAGGATATACAGAGCCCGTTGTTCTAGCAACTGATCTTGAGAGGGAAATTTATCGGAAGATTGAGCTTGCTGGTTCCAAGCAGGAAGTAGTCTGTTGGAATGCATGTCTTAGGCATTCCCAGGGTTACTTGCATTAAGTGCAGAAATGAGAGAAGAGAACCAAATTGTTGTATGGGTTTTGCATGACTTGTGGGATTTCGTGGCTCACAACAGAGTTTGAAACGGAATAGGATTGCTATATGATAGAATACAGATCCTATAAAAATAGAATCCCTATTCTATAGGGATTTCTATTCTTATTCTATAGGGATTTCTATATGGTTCAGGTTTTCTTTTGTGACAGGGTTTCCAGGTCCTATTAAGACTCATAATAGGAAGCAACAATTGCTATATATATATCAGCCTATTCCAGCGATTATTTGACTTGATTTTCTGAGGGAAAACATGATACTTCCTGAGTCTTTTTCTTGGTATTTCTTTGTATCGAAAGTGTACTCAAGAGTTTGTATTTCTCAGATTACTCTTTCATAATAAAGAAGTTCGTCGTTGTCCCGTGGATGTAGGCACATTGCCGAACCACGTATATCTTTGTCTATTTACTGTTACTGATTGCTAGACTCTTACTTTTACTTGCAAGTACCAACTAGATTTGGGCGTGTTTCGATTTTAAATACTACAAGTGGTATCAGAGCTACAAGGGTTGGTGTCTACAAGGTATTTGACGAGATGTCAGAAAGGAAGGGTGAAGTGTGAAGTCTACGCAAAGGTCCATGGATTCGATGTTCTTCGGTTCAATGGAAGGAACAACTTCAGCAGTTGGCAGACGACGGTGATGGATATACTGATTAACAATGATCTAGCAGACACGGTAGAAGGTGAACCGGATGTTAAACCAACTATTTGGGATGCAGATAAGTTCAAGGCGATGGATAGGAAGGCGTGTAGTACTATCCGGTTATGTCTAGATACTGGAGTTGCATATAACTACCGTGATGAAAAAACGGCGAAGTCAATTTGGGATAAGTTGACGAATACCTACCTTAGGAAGGATCAGATGAGTTTACTATACCTTCAGAAAAAGCTCTTCACGTTCAAGATTGAACCCAGTAAACTCATGACCGATCACGTCACTGAATTTGAATGTTTGTTTTCGGACTGCATTTGTTTAGGGGCGAAATATAATGACAACGTCAAAGCTTTATTGTTGTTGACTTCTTTATTACATGAGTGGGAAGCATTGGTTGACACAATGGTCACAAATAAGACGGAAAGCTTAGTATATGCAGATGTGGTTTCTGTGGTGCTTACGAAGGCTGCCCACAAGAAGGATATGGCTAATGATGCACAAGTTCATGGTCTTATGGTCAGAAGTCAGAATCAAGGTAATAATAGGGCCAATAACAGGCAAAGCAATGGTAGAAAGAACAGAGGCCGCTCACACTCTCGTGGGAGAGATATGTCTAAAGTTGAATGTTATACTTGTCACAAGAAGGGCCATTTCAAACGGGATTGTCCTTCTAGGAAGGATAATGTCAACAGGGAAGGGAAAGATGGCGAGGTGAATCTGGTTGGATCTACACGGGCTAATGATGATGTGAATATCACTATTACAGGAGATCTAGCAGAGGCTCTTATGGCTGATCATAATGATCATCTGTATGGAGGATGGGTGCTTGATACCGGGGCGTCTTATCATATGTGTCCTGTTAGAGAGTGGTTTACTAGTTACCGTGAGGTGAAGGGTGGATCAGTCTTTATGGGGGCCTCCAGAGCATGCAAGACTATGGGTGTTGGTACCGTTCGTTTCGGTTTGGCAGATGGTTCAGTTAGGAAGCTTACAGAGGTTCGTCATGTGCCGACTCTTTCGAAAAGGGCTGATTTCTCTTGGTGCACTTGAGGCTCAGGGTTTCAAGTATGTTGGTGAGAATGGCATGTGTTGTGTTTACAACGGTGACAGGTTGATGCTTACATCGGTTAGACATGGAAATCTGTATTTTCTTCAGGGAGATGTAGTTGAAGGTGGAGCTATGGTCTCGGAGGTTCTTGATGAGAAGAGTGTGGCCCAGACTCAGTTATGGCACATGCGCTTAGGGCATGTGGGTGAGGCAGGGTTGAAGGCATTGAGCAAGCGGGGCTTGCTTGGCAGTGAGAAGCTTGGGAAGTTGGACTTTTGTGAGCACTGCATCTTCGGGAAGCAGACTCGGGTTAGTTTTGGTTCAGCGGAGCATACTACTACGGGTATTGTGGATTATATCCACACGGATGTTTGGGGTCCATCCAGGACAGTGTCCAAAGATGGTTCTAGGTGGTTCGTCAGTTTTGTTGATGATTTTAGCCGGAGAGTATGGATTTACACCATGAAGAGAAAGAATGAAGTCACTGAAATCTTCAAGAAGTGGAAGGCAATGATAGAGAAGCAGACTGGCAGGGTTATCAAGGTAGTCAGATCCGACAATGGTGGAGAGTACACCGAGGACCCCTTGAAGGAGTATTGTCAGGAGCATGGTATTCGCAGGCATTTCACAGTGAAGAAGACACCACAGCAGAACGGAGTGGCGGAGAGGATGAACCGCACACTTCTAGAGAGAGCACGGTGCATGTTGTCTAATGCAGGATTAGGCAAGATATGGTGGGCTGAAGCCGTATCTACGGCGTGTTATCTCATAAACAGGTCTCCATCATCAGCGATTGAGTTCAAGACTCCTATGGAAGTATGGTCTGGCAATTCTACGGATTATTCACATCTGAAAGTTTTTGGGTGTCCAGCTTATTTTCATGTGAAGGAAGATAAGTTAGGGGTAAGGGCAAGGAAGGGCATATTCCTTGGTTATCCAGGTTCAGTCAAAGGCTACAAGTTGTGGTGCCCTGAAACGGGTAAGTGGGAGATATCTAGAGATGTCAAGTTCCATGAGGAGGCACTCTTACGGCCTAAGTGTGAGAGATGCAAGGATGGATCTCCAGTATGGAAAGGTGATAACTTTGATGATGAGGATGATTCTCTGCAGGTGGAGCTTGGAGCTCCAAGGCATGGTACACATGATAATTTTTTGGATTCAGGTCATGGTAGCGAAGATGGGATTCATGATACAGTACAGGGTGAGCCAGAGGTTATTGCAGATGAGGAGGTTCCCATTGAGGAGCCACATGTACAGCATGAGCATGAGCAGCAGGTTCCTCAGCCGTCTTTGGCAGCACAGAGAGAGCGTCGGAATACTAGAGCACCCCTCAGATATGGATTTGAGGATATGGCAGCCCATGCATTTTCAGTATTCAAGGAGTATGAGGATGCACCTACTACGTATAAGCAAGCTTGTAAAAGCTCGTATATGGATGAGTGGAAGGTGGCTATGGATGAGGAGATGCAGTCTCTTCACAAAAATCATACATGGGAGCTGGTGACACTTCCTAAGGGAAAACGGGCGATAGGTTGTAAGTGGGTGTACACTCTAAAAGACGGCATTCCAGATTCCAAAGGGAATTCTACAGGTATAAGATTCAAGGCAAGATTGGTAGCCAAAGGATTTGCACAAACTGAAGGTGTGGATTACAACGAGATCTTCTCTCCTGTGGTTAAGCACACTTCTATCCGTGTCTTATAAGCTATGGTGGCGCAATACGACTTGGAGCTCGAGCAACTTGATGTCAAGACTGCTTTTCTTACACGGTGATCTGGAAGAGGATATTTACATGGTTCAGCCGGATGGATATGCTATTGTTGGAAAGGAAAACATGGTATGCAAACTAAGAAAGTCTCTATACGGGCTGAAACAGTCATCCCGTCAGTGGTACTTGAGGTTTGATACTTTTATGATGGGGCAGAAGTACACACGGAGTGAGTATGATCACTGTGTTTATTTCAAGAGGCTTCAAGATGGTTCTTACATCTATTTATTGCTTTACATGGATGATATGCTTATTGCTGCTAGGAGTAAACGTGAGAAAGAGCTGCTGAAGGTTCAGTTGAGCAATGAATTTGAGATGAAAGATCTAGGTCCAGCAAAGAGGATACTCGGGATGGAGATAGTGAGGGATAGGAAGCTTGGTAGATTGTCTTTGTCGCAGAGACAATATCTTGAGAAGGTAGTCAGTAGATTTGGCATGGATAGGGCCAAGTCGGTCAGTACTCCCTTGGCAGCTCACTTCAGGCTTTCTGGTTTGCAGTCCCCTACTACTGTAGCAGAGAAGGAATACATGTCACATGTTCCTTATGCTAGTGCGGTTGGTAGCTTGATGTATGCCATGATTTGCACACGTCCCGACATTGCACATGCAGTGAGTTCGGTTAGTCAGTATATGGCTAATCCAGGCAAGACCCATTGGCATGCAGTCAAGTGGATCTTGAGGTATCTTCGAGGCACGTTGGATGTTGGTTTGGTCTATGAGAGATCGTCAGTTTCAGCTGTGATAGGTTATGTTGACTCAGATTATGCAGGAGATTTGGACAGACGTCGGTCTACTACAGGTTACTGTTTTACATTGGTAGGGGGTCCTATATCTTGGCGGTCCATGTTACAGTCAGTGGTTGCGTTGTCTACGACAGAGGCAGAGTATATGGCAGTGACAGAAGCAGTGAAAGAGGCTATATGGCTTCGAGGTCTGGTTAGTGATTTGGGTGTTACTCGGAGGGATATTACAGTTCTTTGTGATAGTCAGAGTGCCATTCATTTGGCAAAGAACCAGGTTCATCATGCGAGGACCAAGCATATTGATGTCAGGTTTCACTTTATCAGAGATATCATCGAGGACAGAGTCGTGATACTAGAGAAAGTTGATACCAAGGAGAATGCAGCTGATATGTTGACGAAGGTTATACCCGGGGTCAGGTTGGAGCACTGTCTCAACTTGATCCGACTCTCTCAGTGTTGATGCCCCACGGGGGCATGGCCCTTAGGGGCGGACGGCCGTTAGGCCGGTAGGACGACGACGAGCAGGTTACCTTGGCTGGGGATTTCATGCCAAGGTGGAGATATATGAGCTGATGGAGCTGATGGAGGTGTGTCCTGAAATTGTTCGCCAAGGTGGAGATTGTGGGATTTCGTGGCTCACAACAGAGTTTGAAACGGAATAGGATTGCTATATGATAGAATACAGATTAGGGAAGAACTGTGCAATCCGTGAGTATAACGAATTACTTTCAGATTGAGAGTTGAGAGAACTGGAAACTGTTCTCAAGAGTTTGTATTTCTCAGATTACTCTTTCATAATAAAGAAGTTCGTCGTTGTCCCGTGGATGTAGGCACATTGCCGAACCACGTATATCTTTGTCTATTTATTGTTACTGATTGCTAGACTCTTACTTTTACTTGCAAGTACCAACTAGATTTGGGCGTGTTTCGGTTTTAAATACTACATGACTATGATAAAAACGGATGGAACTTGAAGCATACCATTCATCTTAAAGCTTTCATTGAGAACTAGGAAGTTATTGATGCTCTATCATCATCAAATACTTCAGCTAGACTGATGTTTCTCAACTTCTTGGCATTTCATCCAGATTTTGATTTAGTTTTTTTCTCAGAATAGAGTGTAAAATCTTTTCCTACCATTTGATCAGCACCAAGCTGACAATGATTCCAATTCTGTCGAGGGAGACAAGAAGGCTTTTTGTATACACGCTTTGCTTGTTAGAGGACGTAGACCTGTAAGATCCCTCTGATGCATTTCAGCTTAGGGCCTATTTGGTTGGCCCAAAACAGCCTGAGAAACCGTGTTTTTGGGAAACGAGGGGTCATCACTTCGGATTAAGGAGTTGAAGCGTTTATTTTCCTCGTGTTTGTTTCGTTCTTTTTTTTTGGGAGATGGGGGCTAGAAAACCCAGCCACACCAGCATTTGAGAGATGCCGATTTCCAAGCCCGGAAGCCTGAAATGGGCTGGAAACCATGGGCGGGTACTAATTACTCTGAGCTGTTTCCAACGGCTAAAATTTTGGAGGAAAAGCTAGGTTTTTAAGATCACCACTCTTCTTCCTCCCTCTTTTAGCTTCCCGGCTCCTTCGAGGATGATAAATAGAGTGGGGTTTGCATCAATTTTACTGTCGATGTTGAAACTTGAGTGAAATTGATGGCGATTCTCGTTCTCCTGTAAGTGTAATCGACCGGCAGTTCTAAAGAATATAGAAAGGAAGTGCCTTTCTCTTTTATAATCTCTCTTGAGTTTGTTTGGGTGATCAATCTACTCATTCTCCTCTAGATCCAATTGTTTGTAGCTAGATCCAAGCTGTTTGGGTGATCAATCTTCACTCAGCCTTGCTTTATCTCTAAAAATTGAAGGTAGTTTTTTTTTTTGCAATTGTTTGTGCTTCATGTACCTTGCATGTTGGTCTTGTTGATGTTTGCTTATTTTTTTAGTGTAATGAGGTCATGATTGCTTGACTTTTTTTTCCTTTCGAATGTATGGAGAACATATTAATTAATATTTAGGGTATCCTTGATTTTGTCTATTTGGGTAAAAGGTTATGCATGAATACATTGTGGATCTTTTATTAGGTTATGCATGTTGAATCTGAAGTTTAGTTTGAATTTTCGTGACAAGAGTATATTTTTAGCCATGTTAGTTTTACCGTGTTAGTTTTCATGACAAGAACTAAATTAACGTGTTAGCTTTGACTGAAATGCATGTTAGTTCTAGTTTTATCCATGTTAGTTCTACCATGAGCCATGTTAGTTCTAGTTGGCATCACGTTAGCCCTACCACGGTAAATGTTAGTTCTTAGTTCTACCATGAGCCATGTTAGTTCTAGTTGGCATCACGTTAGCCCTACCACGGTAAATGTTAGTTCTAATTTGTGTCATGTTAGTTCTACCAGTCAGTTGGCATCACGTTAGCCCTACCACGGTAAATGTTAGTTCTAATTTGTGTCATGTTAGTTCTACCAGTCGCTATATTAGTTCTAGTTGGCGTCGTGTTAATTCTAGTTTATAATTGTTTGGTGGAAAATTTGCAGTAAAAAGACAATGAAGGAAAATTAATTTGTATTCCTTTAATCTCAGTTACAATTGGATTTCCGATTACAAAAGAGAAGAGAATGATCTGGATTCTCTCATTTGTTTAATTCTGGGTTCTTCACGGTGGCGATGAGATGCCTCCCTCGAATGCTCGCGTCGAGTTTGCTTCTCGTTGACGATCTGACTGTCTATACTCACTGGAACAACGATCTTCTCCTCACGATTTGACGTTGTGGAGAACTCTGAACGAGCTTAAAACTCTATGAAAGAGTTGATTTAACCGAAAGTCGGTTATAAGCCAAGGATGAAGAAGATCTTGTTGCCGATCTCCAAAGCTCCAGAAATGCTCTCTAAGGATCCTGTTGACTAGCCAAGAAATTCCAACAGACCGCCTCCGAAAGATCCAGCCTCGAACTAAGTTGATTTCTTAGTTATTTATAGGGGATTAAGGGGTGTAACCACCTCCTTAATTCGCTCCTAAGTGGGGCTAATGGGATGTAACCGCCCCTTAAATCACTCCTGAGTGGAGTTGTGATCCCCTCAAATCGTGGGAAACGGTTTTGAAACCGTTCATTGGAATCTACGTCTGAGCTGCGTTTGCAGCGATTTGGAAGCTGCGTCTGGCGGTGATTTGAGCTGCGTTTGGCGGCGATTTGAGCTGCGTTTGGCAGTGATTTGAGCTGCGTCTGGCAGCGGTTTGAGCTGCGTCTGGCAGCGGTTTGAGCTGCGTCTGGCAGCGATTTGAGCTGCGTCTGGCAGCGGTATAGAGCCGCGTTGGGCATCGATTGGGGCTGCGTTGGGCAGCGATTGGAGTTGCGGTATGAGATGCGTTGAGCTGCGTTCGTGGCTATGAACGCGATGCGTCTTGATGCTGGTGTGCGGGGAGGACTTCCACAGTTTGATTTGAAGAGACCGTCGATTTGTAGTCTCTTTCTGTCGAAGCGTTGCAAAGATCGTCATTTTGTAATCTTTGCTTTAGCTCTCTGATATATGAGAGTCGTCAGATTGTAACTCCCGATGTTGATTATGAAGGCTGTTTGATTAGAGCTTCCATCAGTTGTCGTGAAGGTCGTCAGATTGTAACCTTTAGCGATCTACGTGAAAGTCTTCAAATTGTAACCTTCTGGAAGTCGTCAGTGTAACTTCTATCATCAGTGTTTTGATGGGGATCAGCTATCTATTGTGATTTTTAGATAGCCTACAATAATATGTTAGTTCTAATGTATTTCATGATTGTTCTATCATCCCCCATGCATAATCCTGAACATTATGAGCTATACATGGCAACACTCACTCTATGGCATCGAGCCGGAACATTACGAGTTATTTTTGCTATATGTTAGTTCTAGTTGTTCTCGTGTTGTTTTCGTGTTAGTTCTAGCTCCAGCTAGCGTTAGTTATAGTGCAAGTGTTGGTTTTAGTGGCTATGTTAGTTCTAGCTGGGTTATTATTAGTTCTAGTTGCTATAGTGTTAGTTCTAGATGCACTCATGTTAGTTCTACCTCCAGCTAGCGTTACATCTAGTATAAGTGTTGGTTATAGTGGCTATGTTAGTTCTATCATAGTTATTGTCAGTTCTACTTGCTACCGTGTTAATTCTAGTTGAACCAAGTTAGTTCTACCTCCAGCTAGCATTAGATCTAGTATAAGTGTTGGTTATATTGCCTAGTTAGTTCTAGCTGAGTGATTGTTAGTTCTAGCGGTTCTCGTGTTAGTTCTAGCAGTTTTCGTGTTAGCTCTACCTCCAGCTAACGCAAGTTCTGGTGCAAATGTTGGTTCTTTTTCCTATATTAGTTCTAGTTGAGTTATTGTTAGTTCTAGCTATTGTGGGGTTAGTTCTAGCTGTTGTGGGGTCAGTTCTAACCGTTATTTTTTTACTGTTGGCAAGTGACTGTTGGGGTGTTTGAAAAAATAAGCTTCTTTGATCGGTACTTTCACCACAGCAGCAATGGTTTTTTTGTCTTATATGGCTGGTCATCTTACAGGAGGTGAGTAGAACCTGTTTCCAAGTATGTTTCAAGCCCAAACAAACACAATAAACTAGCCTCTTGTTGTTTCAACTCATTCATTTCTTCTTTTTTCCCCCAACCAAACATGATAAATTGATGGGTGTATTTCTAACCCTCTGTTTCCATGCCAAACAAACTAAAAAAAACTGGTTCTTAGAAATGAGTGAAAAGACATGAAAATTGGGTTTCCAACACTAATTTTCATTTCCAGCATTTTTGAGAAACTAACCAAACAGACCCTTAGAGTTAAATTTTGAGTTTCTTGGTTGTGATTGCGTATTTCTGAATAACAATGTTGGAGAATCGTATGAATTTTCCCAACTCTATTTTTACAAAGTATTTGAGTGAGAATTCATTGTTGTGCGCAGCAGAATCGAAATCACAAACAAAATAGGAGAACAAATCAATAATCAAAACAAGTACCACACAAGCAAGTCATCAAATTTACGTGGTTCGGCAATATGCCTACATCCACGGGGCAAGGAGGGGATAGATTTCACTAATAAAGAGAGTGTGCAAATAGAGATTACAATCACTCAATAATCTCACAAATATAACCCTAAATCAACAACTCTCAAGTCTTTCACAAATTCTCCCTCAAAAGTGCTCAAAACTATCTCAATTATCTATTTAAAATCTCCCCACAAACCCTAGAAACATCATGTTCCTATTTATATAAACACCTAATCCAAATTCACCCAGGAAAACAAAACGGCCCATTTACCCAATTTCGGTCGATCGGGCATGTTCCCGCGGTCGACCGGCCAGAACAACGAAAATCAGCCCTGTAATTAACCATGTATCGGTCGACCACACAAGTGTGACTGGTCGACCGACCCGAACAAGGTTCTAGACCTAGTGTTGTGCACGAAATCGGTCAATCGGCCTATGTCGTTTGGTCGACCAACCCGCAACCAAACTGAAGCTGTTTCCTCAATTCAAATTTGCCGATTCCATCGTGGTTTTAACAATTCTTCACCTCGGTGAAGTTTTCTTAAAACTGAGCCGACATCGATACCAACCATCTCACTTCTTTCGTCCAGTTCAAAATGAACTCAATCCACAACAACGAACTCAATCCACAACAAGTCGAGAACCCAAATGAGAACTCTAACAATCTCCACCGTTTTGGTATCTCATCAAACTAGCTGCATCAAATTGACTGCCCATGTATCCTCTTGCCCAAGAAATCAAGCCTCACGTAGTTCATCCAAATAGCCTCCAAAGACCCTTAACAATGAAGAATGTTCAACAGCTCCAAACAATGACCAAATTTTACCCCAGTGATAATTTTGGTCAACATATCTCCCGGATTGTCCTTTGTGTGGATCTTCTCTAGTTTAATATTTCCATCATCCAAGACATCTCGCACAAAATGGAACCTGACATCAATGTGCTTTGTTAGGGTATGAAACACCTAGTTCTTTGCCAAATAGATAGCTGTCATGCTATCATATTTTACCCTGATGGTATCATATGCAGTCCCCAAGTCATCGAATAACCT